ATATATATATATATATATATATATATTCAGTCCAAAAGTTAAGGAATAAATAATTAGTGTTCAACAAAGAGTTTCCTTCTTAAGTTTTCAACATCAGTGTACTTTCTGGACAGGCCTCTAAGGTGTTGTAATAATGTCTCAATCTAGCTACATAGATGCTTGTGTACACTTACTGATAACTACCATCACATTGTCTTTCTCATTACTGTAAAACAAATATTTGTTACGAGTGGTATCTGTTCTGATTATTCAAAGTTGTATGTTTTTTGGCTGAATGTGAATGGATCGAGTAACTGCAATTCTGTGCATTTTTTACATTTAATGGATGCCCCTCCCCATACTCAATTTCTTGCTGTTTATACTTTCTGATCTTAAAAGAGGCTAGTCTTCCTCTATGGCAAATGATGCTTCATGTTGACACTTTTCCGGCCACAATCTGCTTCCCAAGTTACCATAGATCCTTCATAGTATTCAAATTCTATTTCCGTTAAACAAATGAAATTTTGGTATGCTTAAGGCAAAGTAATGGTTTTGCATCTTCCATGGATAAGCATTCAGAACTTTTTAATTTAGAATTTTGTACACCAATCCAGGGTCAGGGAAACCTCTGTGGATATAAATCAATAATTCAGGCCTTTAGCATTACTGAATTATTTAAATGTTAAGTAGCCCCATCCCCAGTGTGGGGAACTTAAGTATTTATATTCTACCATTCCTCACTATTTCCACACATTTTACACATGGAGTTCCAGAAGACTAAGTTCTCCATGGATCACAGAGCTAAAATTCCCCACAGACTTTGCCCTCAAATGCATAACGACCCCTGCTAATGACAATTCCATAGGGGACCATTCCAAATCAATTAATGTCAGTCCTTCATATGCCTGCTGTATTATACACAGTATTTGAAACGTATTATCACCAACATGGCTGCACAATTATTTTTTGCTATTATTTATGACAGAAAACATATAAAAGATTACCTACAGTTTTTAAAGCCACATTTCCATCTTATTATGTTGTTGTATGAAATAGTGGACAAGCTTAGAGCTTTAATTTCACCTAACTTTGCCATTTCATTCCTCTCTCCACTTAAATTTGCTACAGGACTTACCGCAAGCTCTACAAGTACTATTTCAAGCACTACTTACCTAAACTAATAAAAAAAATATAAAACAAAACAGAGACACAATTGTTTCCTAAACTATACATTTTAATTGAATTCTTAACTGTTTGATTTGGCAATGAACATATATAACTCTCTATTAAATAACTTGAAAAATGTACACAAATATATTAGATACGTAAATATGAAATCAGAAATTTAAAAACTTTTCACAAAAATACACATCTTAAATATCACATACAAAAATTTTTAAACTTTCATAGAAATATACACAAATATCTTGGATGATATCAAATTAGGAATTTTAGAACTTTCATCTAGATCACAGTAGTGATTCCTATCAAGTTAGAAAAAATGAACTACTGTGATCATATATACAGGATCAAACATTTGGCCAAATCTGAGGTATTGCCACAGCTTTTGTAAGTGCTACTATGTCTCTGGACAGTCTAAACTTACTGACATCACATATAAAAGACAAATTCAATATCTGTTATTTATCAAAGGAAACTGTCAAAAAGTGGTAAAATTCTTGTTGAAAGCCCAAGGTACAGTAAACAAAACACAACATACTATACAACAAATTAATCTGAACTAGGGAATGTAATGAAAGATTCATCATTATATGTATTAAAATTATTAATGTATTGCTAGATATTAGTTTTTTTCACTATAACATCTGGTAAAATTAAGATTAGTAACAATATTTTATAAAAGATGGCAGCACCATTTATACAACATTTACCGTATTTTTCGAAATATAAGACGTACCCTTATTTTGAAGACAAAGTTTTGGGGGGAAAAAGCTTCAGTCGCATTTGAAAGATTTTTATTGAACAAAAATTCAATTTGATACTTTAAAAATTAGTATATATATTGTTCTAAACACAAAATAGCTCCAAACATCAAAATAAGAAAATACCGTAAATGAAAAAAAGATTTACTGTTATTTAGTTTGGTACAAAACCTACAAAATCTTCATTGCTTTCACTGTATTTTATTTTATTTAGGGAGCATTATAAATAGTTATGTTTTAAAAAACAACTATTGTTATAAATCACACATTCAACTGAACTAAACTATGTATGCCTATTTAAATATATTTACACATGGCTTGTGTATATCGTATATATACATATATATATTATTCGTACCTTCGGTGTATAGAATGCAAGCAGATTTTGACATCAAATTTTGGTGTAAAAAAGTGCGTCTTATACACCGAAAAATACGGTAACTTGATTAATAACTTCTCTGTTGGGCCCGCTGTAATGATTTATATGTTTATGAAGAAGTATTTCTTCGACCTTTGTGGCGATGGTAAATAAAATCAAGGCTCGGCATGGCCAGGTGGTTGGGACGTTCGACTCGCAATCTGAGGGTCGTGGGTTCGAATCCCCTTCACACCAAACATGTTCTCCCTTTTAGCTATGGGGGCGTTATAATGTGATGGTCAATCCCACATTCGTTGGTAAAAGAATAGCCCAAGAGTTGGCGGTGAGTGGTGATGACTAGCTGCCGTCTCTCTGGTCTTACACTGCTAAATTAGGGACGGCTAGCGCAGACAGCCCTCGTGTAGCTTTCCGCGAAATTCAAAACAAACAAACAAACTTCTCTGTTTAAATTAAAATACATGCATTAAAAATCACTGTAAGTTAATAATTATTAAGCAAAAATCAATTAACTACTTTCACCCTTCAGACTAGATGATAAAAAATAAGTCCCTAATTTCATACAAAGAAGTTTTATTTAAAAATTATAAATACGTTTTAATTAAATTCAAGATTTGTATTGTAAAAGTTTAATTTAAAACCAAAAGTGGTGATGTCTGACCAAATAAAAAAAAATATATTTTTTAGAATAACGGGATCTGCTATATAAAGATGCAATTATCTACAAAAATAGCCAAAGAACTTAAAATGTTAAGTTTTAAAAAATATAAAAACAAAAAGGGACAAATTTTATAAAGATGTTTAAACATGATGCTACAATAGCTAAATTAAACAGAACAAAACTAGGGCAAACCTTTTAACAGCTTTTTTAAATTCATTTTTCTACTAATTTCTCTTTCAACGAAAAATAATCTCAAGTGCGACAAAGGCATGGTCCACAAGATCCCCAATTAATTTATGTCAAATATTTTACAAACATCTTTTATCATAGTAGAAGCCACAAGAAAAAGAAATCGAATGGAATGTTGATATTTATAGTTTATTTGACGACTTTCACACACTTCAACTAGAGAGCTACCTGCACTAACTGTTCTTAATTTTGAACCGATAAACTAGTGAAAAGGTAGCTATTCAACAGCACCAACTCATCAGACACTCAAAAGTAGGTTTTAACCATCACTCTTATAGTGCATCCACAGCCCAAACGTGCAGAGCACAATTTCCTTCTTTTTTTTTTGGGGGGGGGGGGAGCCATGGAAATCTTGGATCCACAGTCCAGTACACTAACAACTGGTCTATGTTTGGCTCAGTATTTATAGTACCAACATTACATGTCATTTAGTTCTTTAATTAATAAAAGTTATCTTTATGGTTTAGGAAAATTTTCCCAGGAACCGGCTTAACTAGGTTTCTCATGCTTTAAAGAAACACGTTATCTTGCATCTATATAACTGTGATATTCTTCTGATATAATTATTCACTGCTATTAGAAAAAAACAGCTTACCACAAGAAAAACCATAAAAATTCTCCATTTGAGATTGTTGATAGCTTACCTTATACTATCAACTAATATTTTGTTTGTTTTTTAAATAGACTGAAATTATTACTTAAGGTTTTTAGTTGGCCACATACTAATGATAAACACACATTAAATTAAGATTTAGCAACTTTTAACTTCAAAAAGGGTTTGTTTTAGATAAGGTAGGAAATAATATTCCAAGTTAGTAAGTTCATGTTCTGTATCACTGACTGTAAAGTCCTTACGTAATGTACATAAAGCAACAACTGTTATATATTACCTCAGTCATAAAGGGGCCACCCATGGCCAGATGGTTTGGAAGCTCAACATTCAATCTGCAGGTTTGAATCCCCGTCCCACCAAACATGCTCACCTTTTTCAGCTGTGGGGGTTTATAATGTGATGGTCAATCCCACTATTCGTTGGTAAAAGAGTAGCCCAAAATTCGGCACTAGTTGGTGACGACTAGCTGCCTTCCTTCTTGTCTTTCACCGCTAAATTAGGGACTGTTAGTGAAGCTTTGTGCAAACTTCCAAACAAACCAAACCAGTCATAAAGTTATTGAAATAATTAAAAAGTGTGAAATGTATTTTTCATATTTGTCATTAAATTTAGCTGTTGTTAAAAATAATTGATTACTTTTTCTCACTGTAACACAACATTTATTTTATTCATAGCCTATACATGAACACGAGGCCGAAAGAAAGACTGAGAACCTGAAACAAACTTTACCATCCAAACACCTCCACTGGGATAATCATCACTATGGTAATAAAATGCTCCACCACCAACTGAAAGAGCAGGTAAAAACAGCATTTTTTAACATGGATAAATTGTGAATTTCTTTGACTAGTACTACACTTTCAGGTAACATCCCAGCTCTACTTCCCATTCAGGGATGCATCTACGCTGTCTCATACCAGTGGGATTAGACTGACCCAATAGGGAACTATCCATACTGATCTTCCCAGCAGCTTGAAACTGGGAAGGCAAGGGTATCCTGTTAATCCTCTCAAAGAAAAGGATGGGAGAAGTTTGCATGGGGTATAATTATTTGGGAATGATATGCACACTTAAGGAAGCCAGTAAAGATGTACAATTCATAAATAGAGTTTGTAAGCTGGAGGAGAATTTGGAGTTGAGGCTATGGATAAAGAGAAGAGTAAATTATGGGAAATGGCAGCAGGATTTAAAAAGCATTTGCATGCAAAAGATACCGTGGCTAATAATGACTTTCGTGTAGTTGAAACAGTACTAATAGGGCTAGTAGTAGTAGATTTAATTATAATGTAGCTGGTTCTATTAAGTAACAGATTTCAACATTTAGCTTATGAAGAGGATGAATTTGAGGAGGGAAGGATAACAAAAGGAACAGATAGACATGTGAATGAAATGCTTAAGAAGGTTTTTGTTATTGGATATTCTTTAGTACAGCATGTGGACAAGACAGTAAGTAGGGAGAAAATAATTAGATTATACTATCCAGGGTCAAGGGTGGAGGATATAACCGACAGATCATATGATACAGTAAAAGGTGCTAACAGTGATGCAGTTTTTGTAGTGGATGTAAGGGTTAATGATGTAGAAAAGGGTAGGTTAGAGAAGCTTATTGTTAAGTACAAAGCATTAATAAAAGCATACAAAGAAAAGGGCCATAATAACTTAATTCTGTCAGAGATAATGCCAAGACTTAAACCATGGGGATGAAATTATAAGTAGGTCACTAAGACTGCGTGCTAAACTTAAGTTAATATATATAAGTAACAGCAATTTGGCTGGTTGGATTTGTGGGAAAAGGGAGTTTTTTTGGAATGGATGGTTTACATTCAATAGAATAGAAGTTGGCTTGTTTGCAAGGGCAATTAAGTCAACTGTACAGGGAACTTTAAAGTAGGATTAGACAATGGAGAGTGCCTAGAATAATGAAGAGAACATAAGGTGTAGAAAGGGGTATAGTGTGGGAACAAGGTACAAAGGTAGTTTTGATGATAGGCTAAATTGTTATTAATGTAATGCTAGAACTATGAAAAGTAAAATAGATGACTTTAGAGCATTGATCAAAACAGAGGACTTTGATATAATGCAAATAGCTGAAACGTGGCTAAATGTAGACAATTTTGATAACAGGAATTTCTTTGAAATACAAGTTATAGGTTATTTAATCAGGATAAAGTACTATACTGTTGCGTAATCGAGATCACGTGACTAGTATCACGCCACGTACTTCTCGAACCTTCGTGAATTATCGGGAGACTACTAGATTGGGGGTAGTCTGGTATATATAAGATGGTCACAACGTGACGACACAATGAGTAATTGAACTGCAGTCAGAGAGTGTGTAATTGAACTGAGTATTATTGAAGTTGAGCACGTGAGACGTTCGTTGTTATAAAGTTTGTTATAGCGCGACTGTTGA